AGCAGAACCGGCCCCCTTCCTTTACTATTTCAAGGCAACAGCCAGTCACCAGAACTTTACTGTTGTAACTGGCAAGTGGTTCGGACTCCACTTTCATACATTCCCAGGAGTTTACAATAGATTTCTAATATGATGTGCCATGAGAATTATGAATGTCCTTCTCTTTTGGATCTTCCACAACACAGGCTGTGTTTGGGGGTTGTTTGGCGGTGGTGAGCAGCTTTTTGTTTTAAAGATTCTATTATCCGCAGCCCTACCTCAAGCAGAAAGGAGTACCTCTGTTCCCTGTCCCATGCGAAAGGCTAGAGCAATCTCTGGCACACAAATCTGAGGTCCACTCCAGGGAATTCCAAGACTGTTGTTAACTGAGAAAATACAGTCTTACCCTGCTTCATTCTCTGGACTTCATGAAGGCTGTTCTGTACTCTGTCGGATACTACTTATCTTCCTCATGACTACACCAATTTCACCCTTGTTCAACCACTGTGCATATCTAGGTCAATCCTCATCCCAGCCTACTGCTGGCAGGGACTTCAGAAGACTGCTTGAGAAACGTACTACTTCCTTGGTTTAGTTATTTTTGATGCAAAATTCATGGCCTTTCTGCACTGATAGGAAATTCCTTCAGCATCTTCTGATATAAGCTGTTCTCTTCCTTCTAAATGACTGAGGAAAAATGCAGCTCCCGATACAGAGTTCACATCAATGAGCCGACATCCCAGAGCCCCTGCTCACTGGCAAGACAAACACAGGAACTCTTGTACAGAACACATCCTGGTTTGTCAAAGAGATTCCCAATTTCCCGTAGAAAATAATGTGCCTCTTCTGCGATTCCTCCCCGTGCAAATAAAATATCCACAGTAGGACAGACTGCTCCCTCTACGTTCTCCAACGTGATCCTGGCAGTTCCAGTACTTGGACATTTTTACTCACAGTTCTCATAGGTTAAATCATGCTACACTGACATTCCCGCATCTCGTCTTCACTGAATGGCAGTCTTTGCTACAGCAAGTTTGGTCATGCCTATTCTGGGATGTTCTGGTTAACAGCAAAACTGTTTCATTAGATGAATGTCCACCTCCAAACATTTTTAGTTCTCATTGAAAAACAAACTTTTCACAGACATTTCTTTATGTCTTTTATTCTCTCACTGAAGCTGCTATCCCTTTTATTCTAAATGAGGATCTGAACCTCCAGAGAGAAGAGGGTTAAGAGCACAAGTCACTGTTCACCTGGATACAAATTCTATCTTTAGCTGAATATTTAGACAAAATATCTTTTGTCTTTTCCAACACGCAGGTTCTAAAAGAGCTCAGAAGCTCATCCTACCTACTGAATCAAACCGAGCTCCCAGAAACAAACCCTTTATTTATACAGTTCCAAAACGAGACAACGGTGTGAACCTGGAGCAAACAGTCCATCTCTCCATCTGTAAAAGATGGGGTGTTTCTGATCTTTATCACAGCTGACCAAATCAGCGACAGAAATCCAAACCCTGGGAACTACAATCTTTCTAGACCTATACAGGTGGCGTTAAAACCCCAGTGACTTCTACAGCACTGCTTCACAGAGCTATGTAGCAATGCCAACTTTTTTTAATGGAGCAGCGCAGAAATTTGTTTGCCTGAATGGATTCCAAAAGCCACCATAAGACATCCTAAAATCTGGTGGGCAGCCATGTTTGGAGTTGTTCAAAACACAAGCATCTACTTGGACAATCCTTTGAACAGAAGGTTTCTTTTTCACCAGTGGTGAAAGATTGGCTGTCCATAGCAGTGTTCATAGTCGACTTCATCTCTTTGGAGAATTCTTGGTTGAGAAGTATGGTGCACACTCCCCTATACATATCCATACATGTTTAGGTGTGTCTACTTCTTCATCCTAGCAACATCACTGGAACAAAAACTTCTGAGAAATCCTGGTGTGCATGTACCGCAACACACAAAGCAGCAATACATTTTTTAATAGTTATTTATCAGCAACTGGGCCACCTTTCATGAAACATTCAAGAAATCCACAAAAATCCATTTGGATCTTGCAGTAAAAAACGTAACACAAAGTATAACAATTAAAACTTACCTGGGTCACTACTTCATTAAAGGGAGTGCATTTGCACAATTAATCTTGTTTGCTTTCTCATGGGAAACAGCAGGATATGGCTGTACCACTAAATTTCAGCTCATACATTAAATACTTTCTTCTGGAGCACTCACACCATAAAAGAATTCTACATTTAGTGCTCTAACACGAACTGGAAGAACATGTACAACATGCATGTAGATCTCCAGGCGTCCAATATGAATCTGATACAGATTTTATTACAAAAAATGATAGTTCAAGTTGGGCAGTACTAGCTATTGAAACCTTAAAACTGAGTATCTGTTATTTCAGAATCATCTCAAATACACATGCTAAGTCAAAATGTTTCTTTACAGACTGCAACATCAGCTTTTCTATTTATAGCAGCATACCGAAGAGTGGCAAGTAAACCCACAGCACTGCAAACTTTTCTTTTGTTGAAGAGGTCAGCCCTTTCCTGCTACGCCCAGGAAAGAGCCACATTTTACACACCACTGAAATGCAAGAGTTCAGTTCAGACAAAATCTCTTTGTAAATACATTCTCTGAACAGTTTCCCTATGGACATACAAGTATATACTTGACATAAAAATGCTCAAACTTGGTAAAATTTAGTATTTTAAGTGTTACCTTGCCAATCATTGTACTCAAGTCGCCATCGCTCAACAAAGGATTCTGGGTATCCCCGACTCGAGATGGATCTTTTGTTGCTTTGTCATTGCTGAAAGTTCTCCACTCTGACCCTACGTCTATGACCCGGTCACCTGAGTTCACAGAAAGCAATAGTCTGTATTAATATAACATTTTGAATTATTTCATGAAACGTGAAGTTACACATCTGAGCTCTCCATTATAAGAAGGCAGTCTGTTGGCATTCCCAAACAGAACAGTCACTTGCAGGACAATGTACCAAAATGTTTGGGATTTAGAAGTTAAGTTGAAGGCAACGGAAAAAAAAATAAATATTAAACTAGAGCTGCACAGAAAACATAAATAACTAGAGAAATGCACCCAGAACACAAAGAGTTAGTTATCCTTAAAGAGTATCATGGGATCTTTCAACACACAAAAGGAATCAAGACCTTGATTTCAAGCTGCAGGTCATGGTTGCCTACAGATGTTCTCAGCGCTTGGACAAACGAGTTAAGTTATTGTAACTTAACAAGTTCTCTCACATTTGCCATATGTTCAAAGTGCACATGTGAATTACCTATCATGCACAATCTCACTAAGCTGTAGTAAACCGCTTCTGTGCATGAGCTCCAGGTCCTTGGTACTCTGAAATATGCCACCTTCTAACCCACCATAACAACATTTTGCAGATCAATTCTTGTTCTTGAAGGGAAGTCTGACCCTGCCCAACTCCATTTCATTTACGATGCTCAACAGTTATTAACATACAACATACATATATGACTATTTTTTCTTAAACTCACTCTACCTTGTTATACCTGGAAGAGTTTAAATAAAGATTCAGAGTAAGCAGCAAAAGCACTAAACCCACATTCTCTGAATGAAACAACTTTCCTTGCAGTCCTCTTCATCTCACATTCATCTAAACCTTTCCTACAACAACTGTTCAGATTGAGAAATAACTCTAACCAACATTCTGATGCAGGTAAAAGCCCTACAGTGATCACAACGATACAATCTCAAAAAAAAAAAAAAAAAGAAAAAACCAACACACAAAAAACCACCAAAACAAAATGTAATCCGCTGTTGGCAGTGCAGTTCATTCTAGTCACAGGTCTGGTAAAAGCTGCATCTTAAAGGTGTTGCCTCCAGAGCAATATTACCGAATTTTTAAGAATACATGTACAGAAAAGCACAAAAAGAACACTTTTCTTAGTGTTTTGCAGTAAAGCGGATTACAGCTCTGTGCAGGATATCAGAAGAAACTTCAATATAATTGTCACACCCTGCTTTGCTAAACGTGAGGAAAAATTCACTACCTTTATCAGTGTTTAAGTGTGTTGTGAAAGAAACGTCTGCAAAAAATAAGTAGCAAGAAAGATTTCCGGTATGGAAGTCTTAGTATGAAACCACAGAGGCTGATTTAACCTGGTGAAAACACAAGCACACAGACAAAAGCACTCTGAAAACAATGGTAATACAAGACATGAAGCTGGAGAAAATACAGGAGCAATGGAGGGAGTGGTGCAACTGAACAACTTGGGGGG